CTTGAATTCACATTTCAAATTCAAGATAGAGTTAAGAGTAACGTTTGAGGGAGTTCTTTGAGTCATTTTGAGAAGTCTTTTGCAAACTTTTAAAACTTGTTTTATGACTTGAGTACTTGAGTATGAAGATGAGGAGAGTTAGAGTTTCATTTTTCAAAATATATCCTATTAGCAACTAGTAATATAAAAAGCAAAATCTAAAGGAAAGTATATATATTGTCATTGTCTTAAAGTACGCATAGAGAAGAATAGTCTCGACCTAATTTTTTCTATCTTTACTACTTCTCATACAATTTTAATATTTAGATTTTTTGATATTTTCTTCCAAGTAGAACATTCTTTTAAAATATGGTATGTTTTTTTTTTTTTTTTGGTTTTGCTTCAAACAAGCGGAAGGAATACAAGAGAGGAGAAAGCACAATGATACAACTTTATATCTTTCAAGACAGTCATATTTTCGTCATGGGAGATATTAGTTCATCATAAGTTGACTATATTTGTGATAAAATAGTTTGTCAGGAATGTTGCCTTATGATCTATAATACGATTTATTCTTTGAATACAATTTAAATTTGAATTTTACACAATTAATATTGTCTCTAATCACAATAATTATAGTGACAAATTTATTTTTGTGGGTAAAAATAAAATAATATCTTAGTGACGACATGATGCAAGTTTCAACTACAAAATTGGAAGTCATTTTTGTAGAAGCAAAGTTGTCACTAATTCATATATATTTAGGGACGAAATATCTTTTTGTATATAAATGTTGTATTTAGTGAATAAAAATGGTTTTATTCAACTCTGAAATATATGTAATTTCATAGATAATTGATGTCGTCACTAATTAAACTTAAGAATTTGTGACAGAGTAATTTCGTCACCACTAGTAACCTTTTTAGTGATGACAATACACTATCAACTACAATTTTTTTGTATTTTTCTGATAATGAGTTTGTCATTAATACTATGCATTTGGAGACGAAGAAAGAATCGTAGCTAGTTCAACTTATTAGTGACGAAACACTGAAGTGTCTTTGTAAATATTTAATGACCAGTGTTTTAGGGACAAATGATTGACAAAAAAATTGTCGAAAAACCTTTTGTCACAAAATATAATGTTTTAGTAACAAAATAATTTGTCCCTAATTATCGAAATTATTGTAGTAAACAGCCCACAAAAATCAGAAACAAAAAACACCATTAAAGAGAGAAAGAGAGGTCTTCGGGACAAAGATTATAATAGTAATGTTTTTAAAAATAGTAATTTATCTTAATTTGATGACACAATAACTGAATTAAAAGAGATTCCAACACCTTAAAACTAGTTTACTTAATATAAGTATTGAGCTTCTACAAATTCTCACTTACTAGACCTAACTTAGGATTATAAGAGATTAATTTTACACCTCTTTATTTAACGCTTTTATACGTAACTTGTTGTATAGCCTTGCCAAACTAAGCTTTGAACACATTACTAGTAGGGTTTTTTTTCCACGCTACTATCATAAAGGCCTTTTGCTATAATAATAGAGGCTGCTAAAATATTTATCGATCATCAAGTTTTCTTTGTTTTAAATATATAAGATCACTAAAATATTTAGCGTACATTTAGAAAAGTGTCGATAAAGATAATCTTTATTGCCTCAAACATCACAGGCTATAATATAGCCAATTATTTAATAAAAAAATTATAATGGCTGATTAGTTCATTTTTTAAAGGGCTCGGTTTATCCTTTAATTAGGGAAACTAAGTAAATAGCCCGTAAAAACAAAATAATTACAAACATATACCCCTTTACATTAATATCCTACTAATTAATTACGCTATATATCCCCCCGACTAATTTCATTTAACGGATACTAAATCAGTATCATATACTATATTGATATCATTAAGGATGATAATGTCGCTTAATTGAAACTAAATCAGTATATATGTACTGTATTGGTATCATTAAGGTTTCTTGTTTAGAAATTACTCATTGGTCAGTGATACTATAAGAGTATATATATGTTCTCTTATAGTATCATTGACCAATGATTAATTTTTGAACAAGAAAGTTTAAAGATATAAATAATATATATATATATATATATATACATACACACACACTCTTATAGTATCATTGGCTAATGAGTAATTTATGAGAAATAAACCTTAATGATACCACAACAATATACATATACTCTTATAGTATCATTGACTAATGAATAATTTATGAACAAGAAACATCAATGATACCAATACAATATATATATACTCACTTAATATCAGTTTAGTGAAATTACCATCCTTAATGATACCAATACAATAAATGATATTGATTTAGTATCAGTTAAAAGAAAATTATCAGCCTTAATAAATGAGGGATATGGACTGTAATTTTTTTTATTTTGAGAATGTGCATCTCTTAAATTACTTTGGATTGGAATATAACATGTAATCATTTTGAGTTTTATGACTCATTTATGTAGTTTTTCGTTTTAGCATCTATTTATTGCCAGGTAATCAAATTTATTATTGCTAAAAGTTTTGTGCTTAAATGGCTAATTTATTTTCAGCACAAAAGTGAAATTCATTTGAAATTGTCTTAATTTGCTTTTTAACATACATTTTTATTGACATAAATCTAATTATATTGTTGTAAGAAGTCATAGGTTTTAACAATTGTTAGTGACAATTATATTTGTTGCTATTAGCGTTCAAGACGCAGTGTCCAACTTAAAATAATGATATATGATAAATAATTACTCAATTGCGAGATAGCAATTTTATCAATTAGTTTGTAATACATTATCTCGAGAATCCTTTGGATACTATGAAGGGGTAATGTCAAACTTCAAAAACAAGGATTAACATGCCATGAGAACGACCTCTCTATTCTTTTATTTTCTCTTAAGAAATGATATTATGTTCTTTTTCTCACTTGGAAATTGGAATATTATGACATGATAAATATGCTCTTTTCATATCAACATAAAAGTTTGATACTCCTCTATCCCTAATTATTTGTCCACTTTTTCTTTTATAGTTGTCTCTAATTACTTGTCCATTTTGACAAATCAAGAAAGGACAAATTTTTTTTACCTATTATACCCTCAATTAATTACTTTGAAAAAGGTAGAACTTTTTGAAAATCTTAAATTTTTAATTCATCCACTTCATAATTAATAGGGGTAAAATAGTAAACTCACTATGTCAATAATTGTTTTCTTAATAGGCGTGTCAATTCAAAAGTAGACAAGTAATTAGGAACAGAGGAAGTATAATACTTTAGGTTTCTTGATATTTATTATGTCAAAAAGTAACCAGAGAAAGTGTCACGATTCAAAATCTCAGGTCATGATGACACTTATTAATATCTCACCAATAGGAAAGCCGAATTCAAAAGCCCACTATCACCAACAAAAGATACACAATTACCTAACCAGACCCCATAAGCCCGGAAGGTACATAACTAACAAACAAAAATCCGATCCCCCCATAAGACCGGAAAGTGCAAATACCTACCAATTATACTGGTGATATGCTATGCATATGCATGCAAGTTATGCTCTAGAAACCAATAGTGCCAATAATATCAAGTGCCAAACAACCAACTATATACACATATCTCCTTCCCCAGCACGTTAGATAGGATCCATGCGGACTTCCCTCCTCCTGTTCAGTGAGTCACAGGGACTGAGGGACCATAGGAGACTCGAGAATCACAGTCTTAACCTGAAAGTACTAGTGAAGTGACATCTAAGCACAACTAATGCCAACCTACGTCTATAACAAGCCACTAAGATCATATGTACTAACGGAGGGTACCAAACCGTAGAAACTACTACAGGAAGAACCCAATTCACTAAAAGGGGAAATGCACCGCTCTTTTGTGAGAATACAATTAGTGTAAGGCAATGAATGTAAACTGTAATCAAATATGTTATTGTACGTCTAGTATGATAGTGTTAAATCCCCTTTTAGGTTTTCAATTTGTTTGTTGTACTGAATTAGTCATTAGGGTCGATATCATTTTCTCTGATATTGCAGAGGTTGTTTGTGTTTGGGAACATTTCAAGTGTGTTTACTTCTTCTTCTTGTTTTTTTAATCTATTATAGTGTCTTACCATAATATATGTATTTGAAATCTTAGTTTCTTAATTTATTTCCTTTTCTTAATTTAAAAAGTTTCGTCACTAAAAATATGTGACTCGTGCATGTATTTTAACACGAAATGTAACTTTTATCATGAAAGTGAACAATTTGTGATGAAATATATGTTGTAGCTAAGACTTTCGTAGCTAAATATCATATAAATAGAAATGACTAATTATTAGGCCGTATGATTATTGATAGAAATGACCAATTTAGTTGAAGGGAGGCTAATAATTCTTATTTTAGAGTCAATAATGGCTTTAGACTTGAACTATGATTGCTTAAGCAAAATAAAGTATCATTGCTTACACACAATAATCTAGGTGTAGACAGAATTAGATTTAATAGCCAACACATATATGTACTATCCCAATTATTACTTTCATGAGCATTAATTTTGAGAATATATATATTCTCCCAATTCTTATAGAAAGTGGTTTACTTTTACGGTGGCACAAATAAAATATGTCAAATGTATTCCTATATATAATTTTAGCACCCCCCTCATATATACGAGATACAAACATTCATTAACTAAGAGTTAAAAGACTCTAACATCTACAAATAATTAATTAATTATAGGATAAACAAACTCACATGGAAGGAATATATATATATATATATATATATATATTTGTAAAAGAGATAAAACTTGACTATTAAATGAAATTAAAAGTAGTTAATTATCCACTCACACCATTTATTTATTATATAATAAGATAATAGTTAACATAAAGATACATGACCTTTTATACTCACTCCATATGATCGATATGAGTATTTATTAGATATTTATTAAGTCAAAGAGTCATGCATTAGTAAGGAGTGGAGAAATCGAAATGACCAAGCTTGACTATATCATAACTGTTACTAAACTAAATGTCCCCACAAGTGCTGATAAAACTACACCACCCACACCCTGAATGATGTTTCCAACAAGCATGAGGGGAGCTTGAAGAATTCCTGTGGTGGGCAACAAAGCACAATTAACAATTGGGAGAGCAACCCTTGCAACACATGAAAGATTTGAAGTATTTCCAAACAAAATATTTGTATTGGTGCTCAATGTAACATTTATTAAACCTTCAACATTTGTGATCACTTGAGCAAGGGTTGTGTTGCCACAAATAATGGCGACATTTACTCCACTAATTCCGGGGCCTGGGGCATTTCCCGATGTGGAGCAAGACACAACACCCCGTATAGTTATATTAGCTGGTTGGCCAACAACGGATGGAACTTGACCAACGGGTGGCACAATAGATGGTACTTGACCAACGGGTGGCACAATAGATGGTACTTGACCAACAATGGGTGGTATTAGCTGGCTAACAATGCCTGGTAATAGTTGGTTAAGAATGGGTGGTAATAGTTGGTTAAGAAGAGGTGGTAATAGTTGGTTAAGAAGGGGTGCTAATTGACCAACAATGGGTGGTACTTGTCCAACAATGGGTGTACTTGTCCAACAATGGGTGGTATTTGACCAACCGGTGGTACTTGGGCAACTGGTGGTACAATCGGTGGTACTTGACCAACCGGTGGTCTAATGGGTTGGCCAACAATGGGACCAAGAATGGGACCAACAATGGGAATGGGACCAAAAATGGGACCAAGAATGGGACCGAGAAAGGGGAGTTGAGCATGGGCTAGAGGACTGGTGGTGATGATGGAAAGCAGCATAATGAGGAAAACAACACATATTTTTGAAGACATCATGATGATGATGATGATTTGGTAATACTTTTTCTATTCAATATCCCCTTTTTATAGTACTGCTTTTTATTTACTCCACCCCTACCTTAACTTACCCCCCCCCCCCCAAACCTATATAAATGATTAAAAAATGTATTATACGTAGATATATTATGTTCCATGCTTAAATAATAGAGTATTATTAAAGACGTACAACTTCCAATATTTCTCTCACATATATCCTCATCAGTTAGGTTCAAACTCATCAACTTGAAGATCATTGGGACCATAGAAATTAATTAATTCACTATCATTTGACTTGCCATGATGTTTAACAACCACATAAAAGATTTTTGAAAATAATTGTGTGATTGTAAATCATTTCATTAAAGGTAGAACAAAAAGAATTTTAATGTTATATTGTTTTTAATATAGTAAAGTACATTATTTTTTAAACGGAGAGGAAGTTTTTAAAACTTATTTTTTTTCTTTCTCTCTTTAAATATATACTAGTATACGTACTTGCGTGTTGTCGGTCGGTTTATAATGTAATCTTAAATACTGACTTAATGACAATTTCAAAATTCAACCTACTATAGAAATGATATTATAAAATTTTATTAGAGAGTGTTATCATTTAGCACCTTGACATGTTATAATAGAATAAGTATGAAAATAAATCAATATATAAACTTAATAAGTTCATTGTATAAATTTGATAATTATTATTTTTAGCATTATTTAATTTATTTATTTTTTAAATTATTAAAAATCGTAATACTCTCACACAATCCTATGACATGGAATTAGAGGGTATTTGGATGGCTTAAAAGTTGGTCAAATCTACTTTTAAGTCAGTTTTTGACTTCTAGAAATATTTAACACATAAAAATAACTTAAAATAAACCAAAAATAACTTAGAAAATAGGTTAGAAGGTGTTTGACAATGTTAAAAATAACTTAAAAAATAAGTTAGATGAAAAGTATTATGTCAGTCACAAAGTACAAGACCATGTGTCAAGAAGGGTAGTATATCAAGGTACTATGTTAGTCACAAAACTCACATTATGTTCTTTTTCTCACTTGGAATATAATGACACGATAAATGTGCTCTTTTCATATTAGATTAAATTAAAAACTAGATATAATATTGTAACACCCCAATAGACCTAAGGTCCGTATCAAATCATGGGAGTTCAAAGTTTCAAGTCTACGGAAAAATTGAAATTTACGGACCGTAAAAAAACTACGGATGGTAGATGATACTCGTAGATCAAAGTTCAGAAAACGGGCTATATATGTTTACAAGTGGTAGAACTTTTCATGGATCATAATTTAGTCTGTAGATGTTAACCCCCTTCGATTAGTTCGTGTGTTAAGTTCTTCAGATTTTGAACCCCTTATTAAAAGTCCTAGCTCCGTCACCGCGTAGATGGTCTTGTGGAACCTACAGAACTCAGTTTTTCTACTCTGCCAGGGTCATTTTGATTTTTCCCACTCTTTTAATCCCTATACTATATCGTTTTAACCTATTTTAAGTTGGATTAAAGGGAAGTTAGTTGACTAAACCTTCTCATTCACGCACAACCCTTAGATAAATTCATCTCTTACGCTAACTGAAGATTCCTCTCAAGCAAGAACTAAAGTTCTTCACCTTCAAGCTTCTCATAATCTGATCAAGAAATCAAGCCAGTGTTTTCTTTTCAGGTATGAAAAGAGCTCATCATTTGTGTTGCCATCATATTCCCATAAAAAAATGTCATTATTCTTATGACAAAGCATTTTTGAGTTATTACAATTGTTTGTAATTGAGAGAAAACACAATGATAATAAACCAATCACAACACCTTACAATTAAGTATAGACAAAACATATTAGGTAATTAATACACAAAATAACAGTCAATAGATCACACTTAATTTTATTCTAAAGTTTTTTCTCCGAGAAATATGGACTCCAATATGACATGTTTCCAATATGATATTAACTATAAATTATTATGTATATGGAAGTTAATATATGGCGTTAAAAAAATAAATTTATTATTAGTGGTGGTCCTCAAAGCTAAGTTTGGCAAGGCTATTTTAGCCTGGGGTTAAATGTGAAGACCTTAATTAGAGATATGTAAAGGTAATCTCTAATGGTCTAAGTTAGGTCGGGTAAGTGAGAATTTGAAAAAGTAAAATACTTATATCAAGTAAGCTTTTTTATTTAGACGTGTTAGAATATCTTTTCATTCAACTGCTGAGACTTGAGCCATAACATAAGATAAATTATTGTTTTTAATAGTACGTATTAAAGTTATAATGAATGGTGAATATTTTGTAAAAAGCACATTTATGATACCATTATATTCCATGTGAGAAAAAAATATAATGTGTTTTTCTCTTTTGAGAAAACCAAAAAATAAAATAGTCATTCTCACATTACGCAAGTCCTTGTTTTTAAAGTTATACATTATGCATATACAATATGTAAAGCATGCTCGAGAAACCTGAGATCCAACCTCGACCCACGACCTGACCTCGATCTGAGACCCAACCCCGACTCCTGGACCCTACATCCGATTCAGGATCCAATTTTTGAATCAGAATTCGACCCCGCCACACGATTCGAAAGCCGACCTCAACTCTCGACTCCCGACCCAAACATCTGATTCAAGATCCAACTTTTGAATCGGGATCTAACCTGACAACCGACCCGAGACCTAACCCCAACACTCAATCCGTGACCTGATCCCGACCCCAACCTCGACCCTAGACCCTACTAGACCCTAACCCGAGACCTGACCCTGACCCGAGACGCTGATCAACTTGACCTCGACCTCGATACAAGACCTCGACCTTAACATCGATACCTGACACCCAACCCCGACTTGAGACCCAACCCTGACCTTGACACCCGACCTATGACTCGAAACCCAACCCCAACCCGATTCATTTCGAGATCCCAATCAAAGACTTGAACTTGACCTCGATTCGATACCCCGACCCCAACTTGAGACTCGGCCCTGACCTTGGAACCCTACCCGAGACCCAACCTAGAGACCTGAACCTAACCTATATTAGAGACCCTGACACCCGACCCCGACCTAGACACTCGACAAACGACCCTGACCTTGACTCAAGACCCCGACCCCGACTTGAGACTCGACATTGTGACTCACACCCGACCCTGACCTGAGGCTCGAGACTTGACTCCGACCCCAACCAGAGACCCCAATCCAAGAGCTGGCCATGACCTCAACCTGAGACTTGACCATAACTTTGACCCCAACTCCGACCTCAACCTTGAGACTTCGGCATGAGTCCCGACCCCGACCCCAACCTAACCCCGACTTGAAAGTGTTTTCCTTAGTTTTGTAAGGAAAGTCATTTTCCTTAAAATTGAGGAAAATAAGTTGATTTGGAAAATATACACATTTTAAAGTTTTATTTCTGAGAAAAATGGCCTCAAATATGTTATGTTTCCGATATGCTAGCTATTAATAACTAATTAATGAAATACCTCACCATTTATATATAAATATTTTCATGAACATAATTAAAAGACTTTCCAACATTCTTTAAAATCGATCGGTTGATGATATATATGTACTGGATTGATAGATTAATCATTCCTTTTTTCCTTCTTTTATTTTAGAAAGCTATTATCTTATGGTACTAAGTTAGGTCGCGTAAGTCAGAATTTGAAAAAGTAAAATATTTAATTACATTAATTTTAACATGTCTTTTCATTCAATTATTGAGCCATTAAATAAGATAGATTATTATTTTACTTACTCTTATAATGAATGGGGAAAACTTTGTAAAATTAACTCATGCATGCACCCCACTTTCTCCTCTTGATACTTTTTGATAAACTAAAAAGGAAAGTGCTAAATGGTCAGAAAATTTTGTCAGAATTTTGCTAGAAAATTAAAAAAAACTAAAATATTTTTTTAATTTTAAAATAAACTGATTTTTTTTTCAATTTTTAGTTAAAATGTATTTAAGTTAAAAGGGTAAAAATGTTTAAAAAGTTAAAATAACATAGAAAAAATATCATTCTGACCAAAAAGATTTTTCCAAAGTAAAATACCAAGAATATATTTTATTCTAACTTTTATGTTAAATCACTATTTCCAAAAACACCAAAATTTCTTATTCAATATTTAATATATATTCTTATTTTACCCTTATTTAGAAGTGGCACTTTTAAAGGACTAACATAGCTTAAAATAATTGTACCTTGTGCTTATTTAGAAGTGCCACTTCTAAAGGACTAACATAGCTTAAAATAATTGTACCTTGTGCTGAAAATGTGATGAGACAAATAAGGACATTTTTGGTATTGTCAAGATTACTTTTGGTCAATTCATTGTAACAGAGACATCTATACTCTATTTGGTCACACGTGTCTTGTCTTTTTATACTTAGCCAGCCAATCTTCATCTTCTTTATCCCAATCTTTATCTTTTTTATCTTTATTTATTATTAGTAGCACTTGAGGGTATACGAACACTGCTATATGCAGTTGTACAAAATGCACCAATAGTTGTATTCTTTTAAGGATAATTTACTAATTTTATCTTATTACTTTATATTATTTTTATGGCAACACGTGTACTACAAGTGTCATAACAATATTCTTCCTGACTTTTCTCTTCTACGAAGTTCTTCACTTCTTCAATGAAAGGACCGAATGTCTAGCCTTTTCCTTTCTCTGTTTTGCGACTCTCTCAGTTCGTTCTTCTCTGAGTTTTTCTTTCACCATTCTCTCTGTTTGTGCTCTCCCGTGATTTCTATCTGCGATAACATTCCGTTCTAATGGATGTGTTGTTTCAGTTCCTAGGGTTTAGTTCTGCTCTAATATCGGTGAGAAGCTTTCACAGAATAAAGTAGAATTTACTCAAGTGTTTTGTCTCTTTTGTTAACAGATTCTTTACATGTGACTGTTCTTTTTGTCAATTTTATAGTTGTCAATTGCATTAGGAAAACTCGAAGAGC